CCACATTGTCACTTTGTTTGTCGAACAGTCAAAAATTTAGAAATGGTTGCTCCTGTTAATGTTGGTGATGTATTATGTTATTCTGGTACTTGTGAAATTGGAAAAACTTCGATAATTGTTGATATGGTTGTTTCTCGTCAGAATGACAACAAGGTTGTAACCAAAGGACAAGTTGTCTTTGTCAATATCAATTCTGAAGGAAAAGCAACTCCACACAATATTGTTTTGCAATAATCAAATTGTCATTTTATTTTTTGACTTCTTTAATGTTTAAAATAAGGTAAAAAGATAGTAAAATAAATTATTTGTTTACGATTTAACCATAAAAACTAGAAAGATCTATGAAAGGAAAAAAGAAAAAATTACTTTTTTGAATATTTTTAGAAAAGAAAAAATTAATAAGAAACTTCAAAAATTTTTTTTTAAGTCTCAATGAGCGAAACAAGTGAAGACCATTCAACATTTTATGATTTTCCATTACAAAAAATAGTTATATCTATTGAATACCTTGTAATTGCAGTGTTATGTTTTATTCAAAGTCTGAGAATTGTTAAAAATCAGTTTGTCATTATTATTTTTTTTTTTTGTTATTTTTAAATAAAAAACGAAAGAGAAAAAAAAAGTATCTTATCACATAGTCATAAATGTTGTGGATTTCAAAACCTTCTTATCATATTTTTAATCTGTTGGTGTTTATTTAGAATATCAGATTTGATGATAAGATTCTTTCTGATATTATTTACTCACCAACCAGATGATTTTATTGACCAAACAACTTCTGTTGAATGGTTGATTTCTGAGTTTGTTCTATTTCTTTTTCAAATAAAACATAACACCTTATTTGTAAATAATTATTTATTGAATTAGCATTCCTAGTTTTGTAATGGTTGCTCTTCTTTCATTCTTCATTTATTATTATTTATTCCTTATTCATACTTCTCATTGGCAATATGCCAAATTAGTTTCAATTGTTATCATTATAACAATCAATCTCTTTCATATCTTTTCATTAATATCAATTGATATTTCATTAATGATAAAGCCAACTACAGCAGCAATTCATTTAACTTTTTGCTGTAGTTCATTTGTATATTTATTAGTTGTAGGAGGGTTATTGTATGTATCTGTTCGTATTTTTTTCATTAATCCACATGTTTTAGAACAATCTCATCCAAAACCATCAGCAATGGGAGTTTGTGGTTTAGTTATTTCTTTAGCAATCTCAACCCGTTTAATATATGATTTTTCAAGTGCTATTGTAGGTCAATCCATTCTGTCACTCCTTTGTTCAAACGAAAGTTCATTTTGTTCTGAACATTTTGGAATAGTTGTTTTCTTTTCTCAAATTATTGAGGTTGTTTTAATGTCATTATGGGAAATTGTTCCATTAACAGCATTAGTGATTTTATTCTGGAATATCCCTTCGAATAAGTCATATGACCCATTCCCTCACTTCCAATATCTTGTTGAAGAAACAGATGATTCATCATACGTTACATATGATGCAACTACTCCTTTGATTTAAAAACATCAATAAGTGTATTGTTTTTTTTTGTTTATTTTGAATATTATACTTGAATGATATTTAGTTTTACTGAATATTTTTAGTGAAATAATACTCAAAACAAAAAAAGTTATATAACATTTGTTTTTTTTTTTTCACTATCTTTCTTGGTATTACAATAAATTTACACCGTGACTTTCTAACTCTTTAAATATTATAAAAGAAGAAACAAGAAAAATTATAAGATTATAGAGATTCTAAATAAATACTTAAAAGATTAAATATTGTCTAAAAACTATTTGTTATAATTTAGTTAAAATATATTCTAATAGAATGAGAAATGTTATAATTAAACAAATCAACTCATTAACATTGAGATAAGTTATTTTTAAATAAATAAACAAATTTTATTATCCATTTATAAAATCAATAGGCATTATTTTTATATTTATAATACTCATTCTCCTTTTCTCATAATAAAATAAAATATAACTAATTCAATTCACATATTATAATGCTTTAAATAATTCAATTTAAATTAAAATATTCATAATTCATTGAATTAGATGAATATTTTTGGGTTTTGAGAATCAAAAAACAAATACTATTTGTATAGTTTGAAAACTATTAACTTTAATTAAAACAACTTATATATTTATAGAATTATTCTATTTGAACAATTGATTAGAATGATCTATTTTGTTTTAATAAATAAAAATTTCAAAATAAAAAATTATAATAAAAATATATTATTAAAAAACTACTTTTTATATTAAAAGAAAAATCAAAACTTTTGATTTTCACTTCAAATTATTATTAATTTCATTATTCACATCATTCTTAATTTAAACGATACGTTATCTAAAAATCGTATTATTATAATATTTGCTATTTCATTTACGTGTATAATATATATCAAATAAACACTCTCCTTCCAAAACTTAATCAATTACCTCAAAACTCTTTTGGGAATAGTTGTGTTAGAACAAGTTATTAAAACACAGAAAAAATCATGGTTTTATTGAGTAAAATATATTGGAAAAGTTGCAAGACTTGTTATTTATTGGCATTTGATGAAATAGTTCCATACTATAGAAAATATTGCATTCCTTCCAGAGTTGAGAAACGAAAAAGAAGAATAACAGATAATTGAACATTTATTCAAAACATTTGGTAGTTTGTGTGTTTTTGAAGTTGAATCAACTGAAGATGAGACTCATCATCTATTAAGAAAATGGTATATTCAAAATGGTTTTTGGTTACAGACAAAAATTATAGACAACAATCATACTCATTAAAGGAACATTCAATCCCTTTATGAACTATGGCAACACACAGCTTTTCAAACAGGTTCTGTTAACCTTTATTTTTGTACTCAAACATAGGTATATGAGTCTTATTATTGTTTGAATAATTTCTAGTTTTATTTTGTTTATATTAATTTTTAAGTGATTTCTTAATGGAAGTATTCAATTGTTTTATAAAAGCTAATAAATGGTTGAACTCTTATGAAAAGACGTCTACAAAGCAGAGAGTTCTAATGCATGTTGTTTAGCAGATTCTTTCATATTTTTTCTCATTTCCTTTTCAAGCTTTTTTTGTCGTGCTTTTGCTTTGTTACACAATATATCGGTAAAGCAATCAACAAATCTACATGTCATTGTACAAACCATACAAACACTTACAACAACTAACACAGAAAAGATGATGAAAATAAGCAATGATTTTGTAGGCATTAATAAATCAAGAAATGAATCAAATGTAAATGTCCCACGTTTTAATGTCCCTATCATACATTCTTTAGTTTCTCTATTACAGTCATACTGACATTTCTTACAAATACATTCTTCTTTTGATTGAATTATGGAATATTCTGCTTTTAATGTTATTGGTGATTCTATGTATATTTCATGAGTTGTTTTATATACTTTAATCTCTTCATATAACCGTTCTGTATGGAAAATTTGTATTGTTTCATTATCTTGTAATTGAATAGGATATAAGTGCTTTCCTTTATTAATGACAAATTGATGTATTTCCATTGCATTGCAAACAATAAATAAAAGACTAACACTAATAAACCAAGTCATTATACTTGTTATTCAGATGATTCTTAAAACAAAACTCGTGTCAAATTCTCTTTACTATTTCATAGTATTTATTTCTTCTATTAAACTATACTTCAATAAAACAAAAATTGAACATTAAATAATTTTTTGTTGTTTAAATTAGAATGAAAAAAAAAATTTTAAACGTTTTATTTATATGATATGTTTGGTAGTTATAATTTTCTTGCTATCATTTACTATTGAATTCCTTCTTATTAAATTACCAATCATTTTATTTCATTTAACATAAGTATGTTAATTATTCTTTCTTTATGGATTGATTTAAATTGATTAAAGCATTTGTTGAATAACAAAAAATATTCAGAAATTAAAAAACTTATTACGTAATTTTCAAAAGTACAAATGACTGTTTTTGATAAAATTCTCTGGTACAAATAAAATGTATTCCATTTCACAACAACATATTTGTTAAGAGAAAACTAATAGTTTTAAACAAACAGAGTGATATTCCAAATACTCAAAAAGCAATTGGTTCAACAAGGTGAATTTTCTTATTTTCTTTACAAAAACAAATAACACATTCAAATATGAACAATTAGTTACTTGACTCAATAAATATTTATTTATATTTTTATTTCTTTGATACATAGTAAAAAGAAGAAACTTCAACACAAACAACTGCAATTTATTTTATTTTTTTAAGAAAGTGAAAATAGAAACAAAAATTACATTAAAAATTTGGTAATAAAGTGTTAAATAGAATGTTCATTTATTCTTCCTAGCTCAGTGGAGATTAATCACATCCCTTCACTGCTTATTAAACAAAAAGTAATCTCTTTGTTTAACTTATCTTTTAGGTTTGTCAAGGAGTATGAGAAAATCATTTCTTTGTTTTATTTCTTCTTATTAAAGTCTTCTCAAACCTTTTCTGCTTATTCTTTCTTTTTAATCATTTGTTTGTTTTCTGCCTTAATTTTAAATAATTTCATTTTCATTTTTATGTTATGAAAGAGAAAAGAGAGTGTTTTATTATCACTATATTATTATGTTTAATTTTCTTTTAGTCTTAACAACACTTTAGTAGGTTCTTTTTGATTGAATAATACCAACTCCATACATTTCTTAATTTTTTTATTAATGAACACCAATTCTTATATTACAATAAGTAATATTCCACCATAATAAATTGATACACAATTTGCAATATTAACTAATTTCTTTCTAATTCAAATACACTATCATAACAAGATAATAACTGAGGGGATTAAAACATGAATTTGTACTAGGGTTTATGTGTGATGTTTCAGATATGCTACATTCAATATAAAATTAAATTAAGAAATAATAGTACAATTAATAATAATAGTACCTCAACTATTCACAGTCTAACCCATTATGTCTTATTAACAATGGATTTAATATCTCATTTAGAGTATAATACAATGTTTTTCTTTTTTTTGTTCAAATATGGCCAATTCGTATATGCCATTGAAGACTTCAAGAATACCCTCTTTAGTTTTTGCAGAAGTTTCAGCAACTAACTTACAGCGAGTCCTTCTCTTAACATTATAACCATCTTCTTTAGTTAATAAGTTATTGTGATCAATTAATGGACTATGGTTAATTGAATTATCTCTCAAATCACTTTTAGTACCAACGAGGATGATAGAAGCATCATGTTTGAAGCTATAAATTTCTGGAATCCAAACATTTTCAGCCTTTTGAAGAGATATAGGGTCGTCTATTGCATAACATACAATAAAGAAATCTGCATTGTTGTATAAAGTTTTTCTTAATGGCTTATTTACTTCCCCATTAAAACCAGAGCTATCCACAAATGAAACCAAATATTGGCGTGATTTATAGAGAATAAGAGTTGGTTGTTCATCATAAGAAGTTGCTGTAAATTCATCTAAAAACTCATTTTTAATATATGCAAATAATAAGGATGTCTTTCCACACTGAGGTTCTCCAACAACTACAATATTTAAATAGTAATATACTGATGTGGATACTGACATTAAAATATGAATTTAAAGATAACTTTTTTCAAATTATTTTAAACTGATAATATAAATAAGTAGAATATTCAAATATAATAAAATTGCAGTAATACTTTGAAAGACATGAAGTATTATTATTTTTTTTTATAAAAATGTTGTTAAAAAAAATAGTTGATGCTTCAATTATTTATTACAAGTCATATGATTGGCTATTTTTGTTCATTTTCATGTTTAATCTATTTTCTTTCCCTCTTACATAATAAAGCCATTTATTGAATTATTTTTTTTTTAAGCAGATGATAATGAAGAGATAATAAATTTGTTATATATTTATAACCTAATAGGTTATTAATAACTTCAAATAACATTAAAAAATGTCATTCTTTTCTTCTTATTTCTTCTTTTTTCACTCATGCCTGACTTTTATTTCTATTTTAATAAAAATCATTTCTTTATTCTTATTTTATGATGAATGAAAGATCGAAGGTGGCACGTCTGAAACACCACATAAACCCTAGTACAAATTCAAACTTCGACTCTCCCAGTTATTATCTGGTTATGATGGTGTATTTGAATCAGGAATGTATTAGGGAATGCTGCAAAGGGTAGAGCAAGAGAATACAGTAGAATATTACATGATGCAATATAAGAATATACTGAAGTGTGGGTAAGACTAAAAGAAGATTAGTCAAAGTAATGTAGTAGTCATAAAATGATTCCTTCTCCCATTCATAAAATAAGAAAAATGAAATTCCTGAAAATTAAGGCAGAAAACAAACAAAGGCTTAAAAAGAAGAATAAGTGAAGAAGTTTGAAAAACCTTAATAAGAAGAAATAAAAGAAAGAAGTTGTTTCCTCATTTTGCAAGACAAACCTAAATGATAGGTTCAACAAAGAGATTACTCTTTTTTAAACAGCGAAGGGATGGGATTAATCTCCTCTAAACTAGGAAGAATAAATGAAAAATCTATTAATACTTAATTAATTACTTTTTATTTTATGAATGAGTATTTCATTATCATTATATCATTATATTATTCTATATAATTTGATTTATTATTAACATTATTTATATCATTTTCTTTTGTTCTATTTCTTTCATAATATCTTACTTCATTCTTTGTATTATTATTTCTTATTCAAATAAATCATCATCAGATAATACCAAAAAAAACTAAAATGTTAGATTATATTCATTTTAATGTTTATGTGATGTTTCTGATATTCAATCTTCAAGAAAGTGAACAAAAGGAAAAAGAATTGAAAGAAATAATGCAAAGTTATAATTTATATTACTCGTTACTTTGTTTATTAATTTATTCCTTCAAAAATAACAAACACTGAAATTGATGAAATTAAAAAGGGAATAAACAATAGAATTAAAGTAAATTATCTGAAATTGTTATAACAAAGTATTATTAAGTGTAAATGTTCATTTGTTGAATAGAAATAATATATATTTTTAATTAATCAATCTTTTTGTATAAAAGAAAGAGGTTTTTCATGTCAATTATAAATTAATTGCTTTTTATTTATAATACATAATGAAGAATAAAGTTAATAAAATAAAGCAACATCGTCTAAAAGAATTTCTCCTGTAAAATATAAAGTAAAACTGGTAATTACTTGATTTGGTAATGGAAAGGAGAAAGAATATGTTTGAACAAAAAACATTTCACAAATTTCTCCATTATTTTCTATTTCAGATATTTTAGTATATGTGAAAGATGGTAAAGTAAATGTTGAATTTGATAGACATGTTACTTTAATTGATTGTTCATATATTTTAGAAGTGTCTTGTTCTTCTTTATTAATTATTCCATTATTTTTAAAAAATGAGAATTTAATTCCACTGCAATTTACTGGTTTATTCATTACAAATTTTAAAGCACATTTCATTCCTGAATTACAAACATATAATTGATGTAATGACTGATACATATTTTGATATAATTTACCACTATATGTAGAATTACTTTCTATTGAAATATCAAACGTTGTCCCATTTACATAAAGAAGTATTTCTTTATTTGATTCAAAAGTACTATAATATCCACTTTCTATTGGAATAATTGATTTTCCATTTTTAAAATCCATAAGTAAAGGTAAATTATCACATTTATTATCCATACTACATAAAAAATGACTTATAACATAATTATTAACTAAACATCGAAGTTCATTTTCTTTTAATAAATAAGAGTTGTTTTTAAGAATATAATCAACTAATATATCACTTTGTGCTTGTTGATATTTCATATTAAAATAATCCCCAATACCTTTTTCAATGATTAAACTACCACTATACTTAAATAAAATATTATCATCTCTATCTGTTTTATTAAAATAATTATATGAAGATAATAAAGGAGGGTCATATGGTGATAATTCAGGGAATGTTTCTATAAAATATGAATTCATTCCAACCATAGGATTTTCGACTGGAATATCTTTACAATTTAATACAAAAATACTTTCAATACTAAATTGGTTTAAATTCTCTTTTTCAATAAAATCAATTTCACCAATTCTTAATTTATTAATAATTCTCATAGCAACTCCTCCACCTTCTCTATCACCAATTATTCCAATATTTTCAAAATTTAATTTTTGTCCAAAAAATTGGTTTAGTCGTTTAAATAAATAGTTGATTGTTTGAATAGTTAAAACAACACGTGCATTTAAATATCCTTCTTTAACACTCATTCCATTCTTTGGTAAAATTGAATTTCCATTTTCATCTTTATCAAGAAATCCTTGATCAAGACAAATACTAACTATTCCATTCTCAGCTAAACTTTCTTGAAGATAAATATATCCCATATCTGAATCAATTAAATTCCCCATTTCACTTCCAAGAATTATAACAACACTTTTTGTTTCATTAGAGGTTTTAATATTTGTTGGATAATAAACAATACCATTCATTGGAATAGCAGAGCTAGTCATTCTATAATAATCTTGTGTTGTTGAACTTACATCAAACAATGAAGACATATTAATTGTTGGTGTTTTAATTGATGGTTGAGCATATTCTTGTCTTAAATAACTTGAATCACCAATACCAAAAGTTAGTTGAGAAATATGTTTTTCAAATTCACAATAACTAATAACTTCATTAATATAACTAGTATTTACAGTATCAAAACTACTTAGAAAAGAAAGGTTGTATGTATATTTTAATTTATAAAACATATTACTTAATGATAAGTTAAAAGAAACTAAAATAATTATAATACAAAAGATTAGTACTAATAATGATATTATATGATTCTTTACTTTTTTTAATTCTGAAAAAATAAAGGAACTAAAAGATACTTTTTGATGTATGAAAATATAAATATACCACCCTATTTCAATAGTACAAAATAATAGTATTGTTATTATCAAACTTCCCATTATAAGAAACCAAATACATGCCATAGATTTTTGTTGAAGAACTACAACCGAATTACAAAATGGAATTGTTATAATTGATAATAATAATATTGAAATTATTATTTCTTCTTTAAATCCACCTTTTATATAACCATAACTAACTTGAAGAATAAAGAATATAGCCATTAAAATAACTTTCCAAAGAAAGAATAATGTCAAAGAAATATTAATAATGCAAACAACTGAATAAACTAAAACTTGTGTATATATTATATTGAATGATACAGTAGCTTGTTGATAAAGAAACATCTCAATAACTACAATAATAAATCCACAAATAATTAACATTAATGAAAAGGTTTTAATATATCCTTCATATTTATCACAAAATAACCTAAATAAATGATTTAATTGATTAATTGGTGAACTATTTTCTTTATTATGAACGTCAATTGTAATACAATATTTTTCAATAATCTTTTCAATGTTTGGGAGTTTAAATATTATTGAACTATTATCATAGTTTATATATATTATGTCACATATTTTTTTTATTATTTGATTCGATTTTAAACATGACTGAATAAAAGAAAGCCTTAATACAAATTTAATTCCACTATACCCAAGAAAAACTATTCCTTCTATTATCCCAACTACTAATACCCATAAATGTCCTTTTAATTCTTTATGTAATAATATAATACAAAATGTATTACTTATCAGGCATATCCCAGCAAGAATAGTAACAGACAATTGTTTGTACCATCCTCGGTGTGACTCTATTGGTTGTTCTTCTTGAAAAAATAAAACCTCATTTTTTTCATTTGTTGTAATATCCTCACTCATCAATAATTCTGATTTTTTAATTCAAGTTCTTTTTTCTTTGAATCATCAAACAATTCTTAACTTTTATTTTTATTTCTTGTAATATAATTCTCAATCACAAAAATGAATAAATTTTGATATTTCATTTCTTAATTAAATACTATTCTTTACTATTCCTTTCTACAACATAATCATTCAAATACTTAACTTTACTCATTGAAAACATTTAAAAGAATTTAAGACTTTCATAAAAAAAACATTACATTGTTGGTATATGACAAATTAAAACACTATTAACAAACTTGTATTATAAGAATAGTTATATAACTTTTTAATTACTGAATTAATCCTAAAAGAAAGAATTGATAATTTTTCTTTTCTTCATTTAAAAAGAAAAATCTCCACTAACAGTTTAATTCAAAAAAAAAATAAATTAGTAAAAAAAAATAAATGAACTAATATTTATCCTTAGTTTATTATCCATTGAAATTAGCATTTGTGGCATTATCATCTTTAGCTGTGAATTGTGGGTTATTCACAGTATTATCAACAGTATTCTTTCTTGCAGAAATAACAATATCAACAGTTTGCTTAATTCCAATAGCAATAATTACCATAACAACAACAATTACTGCAACAACAACTGCAACAGTGGTACCAGCAGCAATAGCAGCTGTATTATCAACGTCTTGCCATAACAAACAAACAGCATCTTTATCAACCAATTCATCATTGATCTTACAATTACCACATGCATCTAATGAGAATCTATGATCTGCATAATCAGAGTACATTGTTAAAATCCACCCACTTTC